ATTTACGAATTAATTTCTTGAGGAAGTTCATGTAAGCCAAATCTGCGCAGATTTAGTGTAAATACTGAACTCGAGACTCGTCATGATATATTAAATAAGCCTAAATGCGCAGCACCTGGGCATCTAGCTTACTTGAACATACCCAGCGATGTAGCTACTGGCCATCGGGAGCACTGGGGCATTCCCAGTGAGCCGATCGCCGAAGCGAGGGAGACCTTATATTAGGCGCTGTTTTTAAATTACAGCCCACACGAAACTGCAAAAAGCAAGGTTCTAATTAATTTTAATTGAAGTAAAATGTTAATTCAGTAAGAGCCTGATTAAAGTTCTTAAAGGGATAGTTCACCCAAAAATTAAAACGGTCATAATTTAGGCTACTCAGCATCATGTCATTCCAAACCTGTATGAATTTCTTTCTTCTGTGGAACATAACAGAAAATATTTTGAGAAATTCAAGAAATGTTTGTCCATACAGTAGAAATCAAGGGTAACCAAAATGGTTTTGTAACATTCTACAAAATATCTTGTGTTTTGCAGAAGAAAGTAAGTCATACAGGTTTGAAAAGACATGAGGGTGAGGAAAGGATGATAGCATTTATTAGCAGTAAATTTCCTATGTTCTAGCACAAAATCAATGCTTATACTGTCAAGTGCATTTCTATGTGACAAAAATGCAGTAGGCTATTAGTTTGTTGCATTTGCTGTGAATTCAGAAATATATCATTATTTGTTTTTGTCTTCATTTATTTATTTAGTTACTTACTCCAATTGAAGGCACTATAACACAGCAAAACATTCACGGGGGAACTTGAGGGCCGGATAGGCTGGATTTGTCCAGGGTCGAATTTTAACCCCAGTCCAGCCCTGTACCCGTCACTACGCAACAAATAATGGTGTGGCGGGCGCACTGGTTTCCTTTGCATTGAAGCAATAATGAAAAGTCAAAAAATGCCTGAAGACTCGCACCGTGTCTACACCAGATGTGACAAAATACTATAGAACCCATTATAATCTGTGATGCAGCCTACACAGGATGTGGTGCAGCACAGTACGACAAATCCCCGACAGTAAACTGATGCCTCGTTCTATTTATGACGTAGGCCTACTGTTTGACAAAGTACAAATGATTTGCAATGATCACTTTGTCGCATCCAGTGTGGACAGCCTCAAGCTGTTGGCTTACCTCCGGCCTTTTTTTCATTATGCATTTGTTTAATTTTTTTGGCTAGTAGAAATTATGAATGCCCGGTAGCTTAAAAATTTAGTATCCAAATTG